CCTGGGACCGCCGCGCTGATTCCCCTTCCCGGGCTGCAGGAGGCGAGATTGGTTCCGGTGGAGGGGAGGCTGCAGGATGGTTGCAATGGGGCGGCTGGCCAGGGCAGTGTGAGACCTTTGGAAATGCAGTCGTCAACATCATCTGAGTGTTCGTTAGAAACGCAGGCTAATAAATCAGATTCTGCATTTTAAGCAAGATTCTCAGGCCATGTTAAATTTGAGAAGTAGTGCTATAGGCCAGTGGTCGGCAAACTGCGGCTCCCAAGCCACATACGGCTCTTTGGCCCCTTGAGTGTGGCTCTTCCACAAAGGGCCACGTGCGGGCGCCCACATACAGTGTGATTGAAACTAAGTGACCCAAGCACAGAAGTTGGTTTTCGGGTCTCTAAAGAAATTTCAATAGTTGCACTGTTGATATTTGGCTCTGTTGACTAATGAGTTTGCCGATCACTGCTCTCTGCTCTCAGCAATATTCCCTCTAAATTCCCACCTCTTCGTATAACTGTAACGTGCAGTTTTAGAAAAGGGGGTGACTGTAGAAGTATGTTATATTTGAAATGTACAGATCTTGTAGTTCGTGATTTTGCATCTGAAAATGAGAAAAAGCACCTGTTGCTGGTTATGGCCTCATGTCCACATTCCCCCTTTTGACACTGAGCTGGGCAAACTCTCCTTTATTTGACTGGCTCCTCAGCTGGCACTGGGAGACTGGACCAGAACACATCAGGGACAGCTCCACTGGGTTAGCCTCTTGGGTCAGACTCCTGCCCTGTAAACTATCAGACCAGCCTTATTGCACCCTTGGGAGCCAGATGCAGCCAGGCACCACCCTATCTTCAGGGTTTTAAACTAAGCCCTGTCAGGGCCTCCTCCAAACTACTCTGATCGCCAGCTTTCCTTCTTCCTTTCCTTCCTTCTTTCCTTTCTTTCCTTCCTCCCTCTCCCCTCCCCTTCCTCCCTCCCTCCCTCCTTTCTCCCCTCCCTTCTCTTGCTCTGATACAGTGTATGAGAGGGGTTCATTTCCCCCAGTTGCTCGTGGAAGTGGGGTTCTTGGGGTACTTCTAGAATAGGCATTTCCAGAGACCCCCATGAGAGGATGAGGTATAGTAGAAAACTTTATTTTCACAGAATTACACCTCTGGATTTCCAAAGTCCCATTTCCCTTAGTCCAGTCATGGAAAACGGGCAGGTTGGGCTTCACTAGGTCTAAATCAGAGCCAGCGTCCAGAGTTTCCTTTCCATGTTGGAGCAGACGAGGTGCAGTCCATGAGTTTATATGGCTATAGAGGAAACATGGGCCAGAGCCAAACCGATGGCGAGGAGCAAGTCTGAAGAGTGCCTGTTTAGGGGGTTATACATTTCCAAATGTCCACACGCTTGCAGTGGCCATGCTCTCTGGCCAACCATCTGTCTCCAGGTGTGAGTGGCAAATAAGTCCCTTCCCTGGGCCACCACAACCTTATCGGACTGTGTCCGTTTCCCTTCGTTGGATCCCTTCCCTGTGTCTTCCAGGAATGGGCAGGTGCTCCCTGGGCAGTGTGATTGCAGCGTCCTGGTGAAGCTGCCCAAACAACATGCCTGTAAGTCTGCCTTCCCTTTCTCCTCTCCTGTTATCAATAACTGGCTAATACCAATGGTATCACAGGGATTGTAGCTGCTGCTTCAGTGCTGACCTTTGTTACCTCTTTTGGCTTTTAAAATCCCTTTAACCAATCTCCCACATTAATTTTTTAACATATCCTTATTGCTTTCTGAGTGGGAGGGAGAGAATCACTGATTGCCCCCCTGCACGCCCCACACCAGGGACCAAGCCCAACCCAGGCATATTTATTTACTGTTAAATAGGTAGTGGTTTGTTTTCTGAACCAGATGGCATCTGGTTTGCTAGGTTGTGCTTCAGTGGGAGGCTCGTGGTGCCCCTGGACAGAGTTTCTACGGGCTCAGTTTATCCTAGGTTGTGTAATCAATGTGTGTGTGTGTGTGGGGGGGGGGGAGGTGTTAACTCCCAGCATCTGTCCTTAACTCTAAGCTGCCTTCCAGTTTTACAGAAACTGTTGGATTCTTCGATAACCTGAAACATGATTTCTTAAACAGATAAAGCTCTGTAACAGCCGTTTTTATACAAATACTGAAAGTAGTAAGTTTTTATCAAATTAATGTGCAGATGATAAGATTGGCTTCCACTTTTCAAGTTCAATGGATCTGGATTTGTGGGATTGTTATAATTTTTGAATTTTGTTTTGCTTAAAAATACTATTGCCCTAGCTGGTTTGGCTCAGTGGATAGAGCTTGGCCTGTGGACTGAAGGATTCCAGGTTGAATTTTAGTCGATGTCATATGTCAAGTTTCAGACTCGATCCCCAGTAGGGGGCTTGCAGGAAATAGCTGATCAATGATTCTCTCATTGATGTTTCTAACTCTCTCTCCCCCTCCCTCTTTCTCTCTGAAGTCAATTTAAAGATATGAGTAAAAAAATAAAATTAAAAACTAATAATATTGTTGCCCAGCCAGTGTGGCTCAGTGGTTGAATGTTGACCTCGGAACCAGTTCAATTCCTGGTCAGGGCACATGCCCATGTTTTGCCCTGGATCTCTGGTTGGGGAGTGTTAGAGGCAGCCAATCCAATCAATGATGTTTCTCTATCACTTTCCCTTCCTCTCTCTCTAAAAATCAATGAAGCATACTTAAAAAATAGTTCTATTGTTTGTATAGGAATTACTTTTATAAATAAAAGTGGACATGTAGCCAATGTTTTCTGCACGCACTGTTTTCTATAGATTTTAAAAAATATATATTTTATTGATTTTGTACAGAGAGTAAGAGAGAGGGATAGAGTTAGAAACATCGATGAGAGAGAGTCATCGATCAGCTGCCTCTTGCACACCACCTACTGGGGATATGCCCGCAACCAAGGTACATGCCTTTGACTGGAATCGAACCCGGGACCTTTCAGTCCCCTAGCCGATGTTCTATCCATTGAGGCAAACCGGTTTCGGCTGTTTTCTATACATTTTTAACTTTTAATCATAAGTTGATTTGGCATTAAAAGAAAGGATAACACTTTCTTCATGATGATTCCAGTTCAAGACATATTATCGGGATAATACATAGAAAAATTGTCATTATGGAATGAATATACATATTGAAGTTTTACATTTAAGGATCTTTATATTAAATATATATTCATTTTTAAAGTCTAAGGAAGCTATTGTATATTGCTCTAACATTTAACTAGTTTCTTACAGCTTTTATTGTGTCTCTTACCTTAATGTATGTAGGACCATCTAACTTGCTGTTTTTTTGCTGACTAGTACTCTCACCCATTTTCAAAGGAATTTACTAATCACGAGGTTGGAACATCTATATTCTCTTTGTCATTCTGTCAATAATCCAATGTCTAAATTTGACAGGTTTGTCTCAAGGAAGAAAACTAATAATACAATATTATATTCTATGTGGTTTTTGTTACACTTGAGATCTGTATATTTGTACATAGCAGTGTACTTTTTTTTTCATTTTGAAGGAGTCTTTATTAACACAAAGTTGAAGAAACAATATTAGCCTTAAAAATTAATGATTAGTATTTTGAACCCAAGTCATTACCCAACACAGACACCAAAACTGATGCAAGGCATGGTGAAATAAACAAAACAGACCAAAAAAAGTTTAGAGCATTAGAGATTATTTACAAACTTCAAAGTCAGTGAACTAATATGAAATGTCTAAGGAAGAACTTCAAAGAGAAGATAGAGTGTAGATCTTATAGAGTTTTATAATTGTAAAAGAATATGGCCCATATCTTCATTTCCTAGATTTGTTGGAATGTTCAAGGGGGAAAAAAGCACAGAGCTATGGTTCAAAGAATATTGTGCCTGGAAAAGTTAAACTGTGAGACAAATTATGAGGTCCTGGACAACCCGTTGACTCTTTGTGGCTGTCCAGGTCATCTTCCATGAAAAGGAATTTGTGCCCTGTGTATGATACAAAAATTAATAGTTAATGTGTTTTTATTAAATATTTATAACCCATTCTTTTTTTTCTTTTTTTAAAATATATTTTATTGATTTTTTTTTGCCCCCCTCTCCCTCCCAAAAATCCCCTCCCTCCCCAGAGTTTTGTGTCCATTGGTTGTACTTATATGCATGTATAAAAGTCCTTCAGTTGATCTATTATCTCCCCCAGATCTTCCTCCCCTCCCCGCTGTAATTTGACAGTCTGCTTGTTGATATACTGTCTCTATATCTATCTTTTGGTTCATCAGTTTATAATGCTCTTTATTATCCACAAATGAGTGAGGTCATGTGGTGTTTCTATTTCATTGATTGGCTTATTTCACTCAGCATGATGTTCTCCAATTCCATCCAGGTTGCATAGCAGTGTATTTTTAATTAAAATAATGTACAGCCTGGCTGGTGCGGCTCAGTGGTTAAGCATCAACCTATGATCCAGGAGGTCATGGTTCAATTCTGGTCAGGGCACATGCCTGGGTTTCTGGCTCGATCCCCAGTGTGTGGCATGCAGGAGGCAGTCAATAAAATATACTCTCTCATTACTAATGTTTCTATTTCTCTCTCCCAAATCAATAAAAACATTTTAAAAAAGAGATTGAGCTCAGTTCATGCCTTACATTTCTGTAAAGTGAATTCAGGAACAGAGCATTAAGTATACAAAAATATAGATGAAACCAGTTTGGCTCAGTGGATAGAGCGTTGGCCTGCAGACTGAAAGGTCCCAGGTTCGATTCCGGTCAAGGGCATGTACTTTGGTTGCAGGCACATCCCCAGTGGGGGGTGTGCAAGAGGCAGCTGATCGATGATTCTCTCTCATCGATGTTTCTAACTCTCTATCCCTCTCTCTTCCTCTCTGTGAAAAATCAGTAATATATATATATATATATATATATATATATATATATGAAGGAAAAAATATATATATGAGCTGCAAACTCTAAGAAATACTTCATGTATTGGTATATCAAATGGTTGGGACAGAATAGAAACTAAAGCTCTGGAAATATTTATTTGGCAAACAGCTTTCCACTGCTCATAAGTGGCCCAGAAATATAAATAAGTTGGTTTTTATTTCATAAGGAGAGGCCCGTGTAGGGTCTAGGTTCCCTAGGCCTGGCCGGTGATCAGGGCCATCCAGGGCCTGCCTTCATTCCATGCCTCCCCCTGGTGGTCAGCCACATCACAGTGAGTGATCCAACTCCTGGTGGAACTCCAAGGGGGCACTATGCATATTAGCCTTTTATATAGATAGATAAGCTGTCTACAGCAAGGCTGGTGCTGGGTCAGCAGCTCACCACAGGCGCTGGCATCTCTGTGGTCTCCTGGCCCCTGCCCTCGAGCTAGAGGGGCTATGCAGCTCCAACCATCGGCCTTGGTGTTGCAGCAAAAAGAGGGGGAAGTGCTCTTGCTGTGTCAATCATGTTTACTAGGAGAGCAAAAGTTTTACCAGGCAACCCATAGCCAAAGCCCTATCCACAGGCCACCTAAGCTTTAAGAGAGGCTTGGAGAGCTGATGGAGGCAGATTAAAGGGCAAGGGTTAGAGAATGGGTGGCAAGTTGAACGACCAATATTATCTAACTCAAGTCAAATTCATTTCTCTTTCAAAATGGGTAGATATGTCAAGGTATTTCTGTCAATAATTTTAAGATTATAAACTAAGACTCGGTTCTGTTTTCAATCAGGACATATTTTTAACAGATGCACTTTAGCTATGCTACTTTTTCTTTTTTTTTTAACCCCTAACATTCTAGAATGTACTAAAGGAAAATTACTTAATGGCCAACAGTGACAATATACTTTCAATGACTCCTCTACTCAGCTACTGTCCTTCCACGCCAAAGAACATCTGAAAAACATCCCCACATCCACTGGCATTTAAAAATTGATACAGTTGACCAAAGTCCATATGGTTTCCTCTGGCTCCACTAACAGTGAACACTTTTTCTTCAAAAACTGAAAATTTTCTCCATCTTTCCATTTCATCATTTGTACCATCCAAAGGAATGTCTTCTCGATGGCGAATCAAAATTCTCTTCCAGTTTAATTTTTTGAGTCTGAAAAAAATTTTTCGAAGTAGAAAATTTGAAACTGTACTGTGCATTCTAGAACACTGAAAACATTATTTTCCCCGGAAGGAAGAAACCTAGTTTATCTCAGGGATTTATTTTAATCAAATGTGATTCTGGTCATAATCCTGACCCCAAAGTTATTTGTTGCATTATCACTGACACAGAAAGTGCTGATTCTCAAACTCCCGAAAGGGACTCCTCAGAAACTCATTTAGGGTATCGTTAGAGAAGTAAGAGGATTAGAAATTCCCAAGCTTCACAGGGAATACACAGCTTACGATGAGGAAGTATCATATCCATGGGAATGGAGGGCCTTGACTCAACATCTCTTTACAGAATCCTCCCATGTGCACTGTCTGATGAGGGAAGTGATGTGATCACATGTAAGTTCTACTTTGTCCACTGACTTGAGACTGAATTCCCCTGACACCACCCAGGGGAATGCTTATTTTTACATCCCTAGGATCTAGCTGAGAACTGCGATTATTGGCACAGCACACAGTTTGTGAGAGTGCACCCACCTTGACCAGAATTCTTCGCAAGCACCATGGGGGCCTTCCACACAGACCACACCTGGCTTCCCAGGCATGCTAAACCCTGACAGGGCGAGCTCCTTCGCCCACTGCAGAATGTCCTTCCGTTTGCACTTGTTGTAGATGTGATGGCTATAGATCCAGAGTCTCGTGAGAATGACATGGACAGGCTGGACTGTACTTCCTGGAATCGGGGGAGGGATGGGGTCTCTGCTGACATAACCAGAGGCATGTTCTCTAACCCAGTCGGTGGCATTCAGTATACAGACATCTCCTAGGCAATTCCTCTGTAGGTATGTGGTCAGATCTGTGTTCAGCTGAGTCTGCTGGGATCTACTTAATAATACTGACCTGGTTTATATGGAATAAAACATTAAATCAATTTTCTTGTAACAGAAAATAAACTCAACAATTGCTATTAGTATTCTCCAATTAATTTTGACCTTAAAAGCTAGCCAGTTCCTGTAACACACCTGACAGTGATTTCAGGCAGAACTGCAGGGTATTCAAAAGGAAGAATACAGGCCAGAGAAAACACCACCTGATCAAAAGAGAAGAAAATGCCCTCAGCGTTATGTCTTGACTTGTTTCAATTCTCCCAAAAGCAAAGCTGAATTACCACTGTGTCCGCAGACATGTCCAGGTTCATGTTGATAGTAAAGTAAACTTTTGAAGATCGGCCCTCCATCGTCCTCTTTTCAATGCAGTCTTTCAGTTCTGCTACAGCAAGCTGGTCATTCACTATGAGCTCATTCTCACCAGGGAACATGCTGGCCAGCAGGTCTAACTCAGAAAGCTGGGCCTCAGCCTGCTCAATCTCAACCATTTTTGGATATCTGTAAGTTTCTAAGGAGGTAAGAATAACTGACAATTAACACGTACAATCTTAGGATGAAGGGCATTTATTAGATTAGTGTCCTTTACTTATTTAAAAAGTATTTGATTTCTTCAGAAAATGTGAAATTTAATCAGAGTATCATTCCCATTATTCTACTTTGTAATATGTGTGTAATAGATGTAATATGTTAATATGGGACAATCCAGTGCAAACAACAAACTCTAATAACTACACACCAATTCCCACGTTTTGAGGTAGTTGATCCGGCATCTTGATCTACTTCATAAAAGTAACTGAAAAATGTAATCAAAACCCACATCAATGACAGAGCCAGGAAAGAGGCTAAGACTTGTCACCTTGGAAACCTAGAATGAACAGAGTAAGTAGAGCTAATTGTATGATGTTTTTTTTCTTAATATTAAGTATATTAGTTTTAAAGGCAGGAGACTGGGAAAAGTAACCCCTGTCAACATTAAAAAAGTACAAGGTTGGAAAATTCAAGTAGTAGAGAAAAAAATTAAGATATAGAGTCCTGCTGCTAGTCTCTTCCCCTACCTACCTAAGTCCCCCATCCAAGACAAAGAGTTTTTGATGTTTCACATCCAAAAAATTTTAAGCATTATACATAAACATAAATGGAAGATATATGCTGATATAATCCTATCTAATAAAGAGGGAATATGCTAATTGATCCTCACACTGTAGCAATGATGGCGGCACCCACAGCTACAAAACGAGGGAATATGCTAATTGACTGCCCCACCATCAAAGATAGTGGCATCCACAGCCAATGAGGGAAAATGCTAATTGACTGCCCCACCCTAAATATGGCAGCGGCCAGGGCCAGCCTGAGTTGTGATGGGGCATTGCCTTCCCGATTGCCAGGTCGCCTCCCACCCCTGAGGGACTATGAAAGGGGGCAGGCCAGGCTGAGGGACTCCCCCTCCAGTGCATGAATTTTCATGCATCGGGCCTCTAGTATGTAAATATATGTAGAGTGAGATATCTAAACATAATTATACATCTCCCTGCACCCACTTCCTATCCCTTTTACCCCTCTTTGGAGATCTAGTCACTGTCATCACATGGCAATCTAGCTCATTCTCTCTAGGGGTTGTCATCCTGAATCAGGTAGGCATAATTTATTGCATTCTTTACCTTGGACATTTGGGTTGCTCCCACACTTTTGCTATTATGAACAATTCTGTAAAGAAGTTCATTTCATATATACAGTTTGATGAGTCATACACACACACACACACACACACACTAGTATATATAATTTGGTGACTACATATTCAAGGGTAAGTTTGCTGAGATGGCTTGTTGGAACAATAAGTTCAACATTTAAAAACTGGGTAAAAATTACCAAGTTGCCTTCCAGAAAACTGTTTGAATTTTTTACATAGTTCCCTCCTTTTAAAAAATAATTTTTAATACTTTGTGTTGTGTGTGTGTGTATGTGTGTGGCATTCAAACAGAGTTTGAGGGACATATAGGACTATAACAAAAAACCTAACAACATTCATGTCATCCAAGTTCCAGAAGGAGAGAAGAAGGCAGAGCTGAAAAAGTACTTGAAGACATAATGGCTGAAAATTTTCCAAATATGTCAAAAGGCATAAAGGATTTCAAGAAGCTGAACATATTTCAAGCAAGATGAACCCACAGAAATCCATATTAAGACACATCATAGTCAAACTAAAGACAAAGAAGAAAACCTTGAAAACAGCAAGAGATAAATGAGGAAAAATAATTCATGTAAGAAAGTATTTCTCATCAGAAACTATAAAGGCCAGAAGGAAGAGTCATAATATTTTCCAAGTGCTGAAAGTAAAGAAAAATTATCCCACAGTTTACATCCAGTGAAAACATCCTCAGGAATGAAAGGAAAATCAAGACATTCTAAGAGGAATGAAGCAACTATCAATAGTTGACTAAACATGGTACAAGGAAGGAGGAAAAGGCTTTTACTTTCCAATTCGGATGCTTCAATATAATTTGAAGTTTCGTGATTAGCCTGCAGCACTTTTAAATTTCACAGAAAAAAGGAGGCAAATATTGCTTACCTTCTCAAAGAGAATCTACTCAGTGAAGTCAAACACCATCATTTCTGTTAGCGGTATCCTGGGGGAATTCTTTCTCCTCTTTGGTGAAGTTTTATCGAGCAGCTACCATATGTAGAGCTTCTCCCATTCCTCCTTCCTGGAGCATTATTTATTTATTTACTTACTTATTTAATATATTTTTATTGATTTCAGAGAGGACGGGAGAGGTAGAGATAGGAACATCAATGATGAGAATCATTGATTGGCTGCTTCTTGCACGCCCCCTACTGGGGATGGAGCGGAAACCTGGGCTTGTGCTCTTGACTGGAATCAAACCCAGGACCCTTAAGTCCATAGGCCAAGGCTCTATCCACTGAGCGAAACCAGTGAGGGAGAGCCTTCTGTTTAGTTTGAGGATCAGGACATTAATAAGATCTAGAACAATGAAGATGAAAAGACTTAGTGTTAAATGATCAGTATAAATATTATTACAGGCATGGGAGTAAGATGGGGGCACCATCAATGAAATGGGCCACCAGAAACTTCGGCAAAGGCCACAGGAGCTGAGCTGAGCCTTGAAAGAAGGGCAAGACTTGGACAAGCTGAGTGGGAGGCATAATGGGGAGAGGAGAGGTCTGTGAGGCAGGAGAGCACAGAAAAATCACATAGCCCTAAACCTGCCCCTGCCTCACAACCCCAGCGCCCAAGGCCTACTCCAGAGGCTTATGATTTGGACTATTTTCCCTGGTGCTACTGACTTTGTGACCTAACCTATTTTGGCCTTCTTTCCTCTCTGGACAGCTGACTTCCACAGCCCACAGCACCCAACTCCTGAGCCTTTCTTGTGGCCAGGTTCAGCCAATGGGCTGGCAGGAAGTGGATGGGAGGAGAGAGTCCATGGTACTTTGCCACAGTTCTCTGCTTTGGTGGGATTCTGACAATGGCTGGGACGGGCTAAAGACCACCCTTCTGCAGGCAGCCCTTGTTCCTCATCTCTAGCAGACCTTTCAGGCCTAGTCAGTTCCTTTAAACTTGGCCACTCCTCTATGAATAATTGAGTGTGTGTTATTTCCTTCCAGACCCTTTGGTCCTCCTACCCAGAGTCTGGATCTAATGTCTCAGTCAACTTTCACTCAACACTGTCATCACATTGACTGTATGCAGTGTCTAATACATGTATATTGAGACAAGCAAGAGAGTACCAGCAGCCCTTTCATCCCAGCTTAGAAAAACCTATTGGAACTGGTGACTGGGCAACAGTTTTGCCACTGAGAGGAAGGAGATCCTAGAGTTCCACAGGGGAAGGCAATTGGCTGACCCCGGACAGCTCCCCATGGAGTGAACTGACCGGTTCACCATCTGGCTGTTGGTTTCAGACTCGGAAGCAGGAAACGCCCTCATATTGAGTGGACCCACTCCCCACAGGCTGCCTTGGATAATCCATTATTAAGTGCTTTAGGACATTAGCTGTGATGGATCCTGTCAAAAACAGACCACAGATTATGGGGATGTCTGAGCTATGAGGGGTGTTGAGTTCATTAGGATGAACTGGATGCAAATCTGGAAAACATGAAGAGCTCTCTGTCTGTACCCGTGTGAGCCGATGACAACACTACATCATTCCTGATGCCAGTGTGGTTCCAACCCAAGTCCAGGTGCCAGTGCCACGCTGGGGAAATTTTACACAAAAGCGTTTCTGCTTAAATAAGTTCTTGAGGTGCAGAATGACAGAGTTCAACCAGTTTCTTTAGGGTGCCCAGGGTCTAGACTGATCTAGTGTTTATCTTAGACAAATGTGATTGCATTTGGACAATACATTATATGGGCACTTTTTTTTTTTGTATGTGGCTTTTCAGCCTTTTTTGTTAGATCACAGTATGCACTATGAGTTTCTAAGAGGAAGGTTTAGTATGTGTTGTACCCCAAACCTATCTGACCCTGGAACACTTTTCTCCAGACCTAATGACATTAGCGTTTCTTGACACACGCGTTATTCCTGGCTGGTCATCTAGCGGCCCCAACTTAGTGAAATACCAAGGCTACAACCCATCTTCATCGAGTCCTTTTCAAATAATGTTTAAAATTCCAGGACTTAGCCGAAGCTGGTTTGGCTCAGTGGTAGAGTGTCGGTCTGCAGACTGAAAGGTCCCAGGTTTGATTCTGGTCAAGGGCATGTACATTGGTTGCGGGCACATCCCCGGTAGGGGGTGTGCAAGAGGCAGCTGGTCGATGTTTCTCTCTCATCGACGTTTCTAGCTCTCTATCTCTCTCCCTTCCTCCTCTCCGTGAAATATCAATAAAATATATCTAAATAAAATTCCAGGACTTAGAATTCCAAAAATACCCTTCCTAGTCTGCTTTGGAGCTGAGGACTCCAGGAAACAGCTTATTGGTGTTATTAGAGGAAAGGAGGTCACGACTGTCCTTGACTAGTGGTTTAAGTATGCACTCTTGCCAGTATGCCCAAGTGCTACCTGCAACCCATGACCTTGACCTTAGGCCAGTGGCTTGGTTTCTTGTGCCTCAGCCTCCCAATCTCCAAAGCGGGGAGGACAGGGCTGCTGTGAGGACCGAGTGAGGGTGTGGAAACTGCACAAAACAATGCTTGGCACTAGAGTAAGTGCCCTACAAGCGCCTGCTAGGACCGCGATGGGCTCCTCACTCAAGTGTTTCTTGAGCACCTACTGTGTCCAGTGCGGTCCTTGGCACTAAATGACAACAATGAACAACAGGACAAAGAAATCTCTGCCTCCACGGAGATGCCCTCTGGTGGGAGGAGCCAGGACGCGGCTAGCTGTTAGGATGAAAAGGCAGGAAGGGGTCAGGAGCCAGGGAGAGGTCTGGGCCGAGTTCCCGGCCAAGGGCACAGCACCCTCGGGCCCGAGGCAGGAGGATGAGGACCGGTGGCGGGAGCAGGGAGGGGCTTCAGTAGTCAGGGCTGGAGGGGAGACGCTGGCAGTGCTTGCGGGGCTCACACGGGCCAGAACTTTCCATCCTGACTACGGAGGCCCACGCGGGGTCAGGCTCGGTCACGCAGAGGCCTCACTGCTGGCCGCGCGGGTGAGGGGAACGCACCTGCTGGCAGGGCCTGCGGCTGGGAAGGATGCCCGTGGCTCGTTTAGTCCCCGGCCCGCATTTCTGTGGATACCAGCGACTTCCTCGCCTCGGCGTTTCTGGGTCAGACCAGGCCCGGGGCGCCCACCTGTTTAATCCCCCCACGGGGCTCGGCGCCCATATGGGTCCGGAACCAAAGGACGGAGCCGCAGGTTGTCCACACGGGCCGCGCTGGGGCTCAGAGGGTACGGAGCAGAACCAGAGGGCCCACCGAAGCTCAGGAGCGCTTCCGACGCCCCGCGTTGGCCCGAGGAGCCGCGAGGGCCCCGCGCCTCTGGCAGCAGCCGCTCCCGCCGACCAGCAGGTGAACAACCCGCAGCCACGCCCCGCGGGGGAACTCTCTCAGGACCGGACCTTCAGGACCGCGCGATTGAACTTCCGGCTCGAGGCGCGCGCACGCGCACAGCAGAGCAGCGCACCGGAAGTGGCTGCTGCCGGGCTGCTCTGGCTTCCGCTCCGTCGCCTCTCGTTCGCGGTGGTGAGGAGGACGGAGCCGGCCGTGCGGAGCCCGCGAGGAGCGCAGGGATGGGCGCCGTCGCCGCGGGTAAGTCGTGGATTGGCCGCGCGGCCGCCTGCGCCCGGGACCCGAGTCTCCTGCCGGCCTCGCTCCCTGCGCCGCGGCCTCGCTCGGAGCGCGGGTCCCGGCCTCGCCCGGCGCCTTGGCCTCGCCGGCCTGGACCTGTCACTTCCAGGAGCTGCCCAGTGAGCTGTGGGTGCTGGCGCCCCTCGCCCCGGGAGCCCGCGGTTCCCGAGGATGGCGGCCGTTGCGGGGAGAGGGCTGGGGCGCGGGGGAAGCGGGCCGTCACCTCGGCGACCCTGTGCTCCAGGGTCCGACCCCAAACTCGGCGCCGAGGACCAGACCTGCTGACAGCAGTCCAGACGCTTCCATGCTTTTCAAAGAAATATATTTTCCTTGATTTCAGAGAAGAAGGAAGTGGGAGAGAGAGAAGCATCCATGATGAGAGGGAGTCATGGATCGGCTGCCTCCTGCACACCCTACACTGGCGATCCAGCCCGCAACCTGGGCTTGTGCCCTCACCAGGAATTGAACCCTGACCTCCTGGTTCAAAGGTCGGCGCTCAACCACGGGCCACACCAGCCGGGCCTAATAAGAGTTCTTGATGTTTTACAGCTGACGGTGCCCACGGTACACCCTTCCCATGACTCACTAGATGCCCTGTACAGCTGTCAAAACTTTACTGCGGCTGTTTCCGCAGCACTGAAGTCACCGCCACTCCAGTCACAGCTCATCCTTCCGGTTTCCCTCAAAGCAGTTCTGAGAGCTCCGCCTGCACGCCAGACGCCAGCATTCTCCACGTGGTTGCTTCGTACCTCCGCACCCCGTGATCGTCCTTAGTCCATCAGGTATTTCCATGCGCGAAGTGTTTCTTGAGGACCTACTAACACCGTTTTAGTAATGCAGAGGCAATGCCTAAAACCGCTCCTTTTCTGGACCTTTAGATCCCAGTGGAGAAATTGCACATGTCCAGGTTGAAGATGCCCCGCTCGGGGTCAGAGGCAGGTGTTTGGAGGGCACCCAGGATTGACTGGGTGAGAGAGAACGGTCTGCCCTTGTTTCCATCTCTGACGCCCTGTGGTTCACCGTCTTGTTGAGTTTCCTCCTCTAGTGAAACACTCAGTGTACAGAGTTGTGGTGAAACACCAATGGGATGGTGATCATGAAAGGGCATGTGATTACTCTTCACTGGTTCTTTTTGATAAGTAATGAGGGTCAGGATTGCAGACCATTGGGACAACTTGTGAAGGACCCTGAGTGCAGGCTCGGGAATGTGGACTGGAGCCTGTTAATGCTTTCAGTCAGGAGTGATGTGATGGAAATGGCATCATGGAAAGATGTTTCTGGTGCCAGAATACAGCACAGGTTAGAGGGAGTTTGACTGTAGGCAAGAACTTGAGTGGTATTTTCCCCCCTAAAATCTACAATTCTAGATAAGTTATGTTAAATGTTACCTTTAGGGCAAGAAAACATAACATAAAATATACCTTGTATTATATATACCTGTATACTTTGTATTCTTTTGTTAGTTTATTTATTTACTTTGTAAGCTTGTTACATTTTAGATTATCTTTGTAAAGGTTAACCGTTACTTGATGTGGTACTAATTTTTCATACAGGCCTTTTGAATTACTTTAATTACACTAAACCAGCTGTCGGCAAAGTCATTAGTCCACAGAGCCAAATATCAACAGTACAATGATTGAAATTTATTTTGAGAGCCAATTTTTTTAAACATAAATTTCCTCTAATGCCACTTCTTTAAAATAGACTTTCCCAGGTCGTGATATTTTGTGGAAGAGCCACACTCAAGGAGCCAATGAGCCGCATGTGGCTCCCGAGCTGCAGTTGGCCGACCACTGCATTAACCCATTAAGAGCTAAAAGAGGTATACTTGTAAGACAAGACTTGGTGACAGCTAAGTAGCAGAATTAATTGGGAAGTGTTTTCAAAACATATGTTCCAAGTCTAACTTTACACTAATGTAACCAGAATTTTAGTAAGTATGCCAGGTCAGATATTCAGTGATTAAGACACTAAGCTATTGTAATGTATGTTAAGTACAACTTTTCAAAATCATTACTATTATTTAAAGTTATGTAAATACTTTCAGTACTTTTTCATATATACAAATTTTGCATTGTTGCGTAAGGAGGTGCTAGATTTGTCATAGTATTCCAAACCAACTTTATAATACAAATATTTGACAATGTGATTATAATAAACTAGTGGCCCATTGTAGGAAGATTCCTTCAATGGGGCTGCCTGCTGGGTCTCTGCCCTACCCGCTTTCCTCCCTTCTCCCCACCCCGCTTGCTTCTCTGCAGCTTCACCCCCTTCTGCAGGCTTGGCTTCTTTCTATGCTGCCTTGATATGCAAATTAACCACCATCTTGGTTGGGATAATTTGCATGATCTCCCCAATTGGCTGGTGGGTGTGGCTTGTGTAGCAGAGTGATGATTAATTTGCATATTACTTCGTTATTAGGTTAGATTATTGTATAATATCCATATATGGTAGAATTCATATAGGAAATCCTAGTGTGGAAAATGCAGAACAATTTATCTTTGTTTTCTTTTTTTGCCTGGTAATTATTTTGCAAACTTTCTAACTCACTTTAATAGTTTGTTTTCAGAATTATTTATAATTTTTCTTAGAGAAATTATTGATTTAATTTACATAGACCTCAGAGCTAAGAAAGGAAGCTTAGCCTGGCCAGCATGGCTCAGTGGTTGAGCATCAACCTATGGACCAGGAAGTCACAGTTTAATTCCCTGTCAGGGTACATGCCTCGGTTATGGGTTCCATTCCCATTGTGGGCCATGCAATAGACAGCCACTTAATGATTCTCTCTCATCATTGATATTTCTATCTCTCCCTCTCCCTTCGTCTCTGAAATCAATAAATATATATTTTTAAAAAAGAAGAAAGAAAGGCAACTTAGAAGGGAAGGACATTGTCTGTGTGCCACGCATTCCACGTGTGCTTAGTGAGAGGTTGAATCCAAATGGTGTTACGTGCTGAGACTTCAGGTCTGTGTAAGAAGACCTGGGTTCTCTCCTAACCTTCACATTTATTAAAAACCTGTTTTTTGCTCTGACGTGTTGGCTCAGTACCTTGGGCATGTACCTTGGTTGCGGGCACATCCCCAGTGGGAGTGTGCAGGAAGCAGCTGACTGATGTTTCTCTCTCATTGATATTTCTCTCTATCCCTCTCCTTCTCTGTAAAAAAATCAATAAAATATATTTTAAAAAAATAAAACTTTAAAAAAATTTTTTTTATTGATTTCAGAGAGGAAAGGAGAGGGAGAGAGAGAAACATCAGCTACAAGAGAGAATCTGTTTCCTACACGCCTCTAATGGGGATTGGGCCCACAATCCAGTCATGTGCCCTTGACTGGAATTGAACCTGGGACCCTTCAGTTCTCAGGCCAACGCTCCATCCACTGAGCCAAACCAGCCAGAGCTATTGAAGACCTCTTAAACCTGACTAAGAGTCTGTTTTGTAAGCTAGGAAACCAGTGTATTACCTTTTAGTCCCTCTACTTTAGAGTTTTTATTGAAAAGTACATGATATATGTGAATGGTCTTTATAAATGACTAGAGGCCTGATGCACAAAATTCATGCAAGAGTAGGCCTTCCTTCCCCCGGCTGCTGGCACCAGCTTCCCTCTGGCGCCCAGAACCTGGGCTGGCTTCCTTCCAGCTGCCTACAAGCATCAGACCCTGGCTGGCTTCCCCTGTCCTGTCCCAGCTTTGTCAGGAAGGATGTCCAGAAGATGTCTGGTCTAATTAGCATATTACCTTTTTATTATTATAGATAGTATGTGATAAATATGTAAAATGTTATCTATGGCTGAGTTCTATTACTGTCTCAGAAAAGTATAAATGACTTTTTTTTTTATCAAGTTAACTTTATCTTGTTTTCTAGATTGTTATTTTGTGTCAGGAAGTAATCCATGAAGTGCCAACATGGGAAAGAAACGGATAAAGGAGAAAATTGTTCCAGTTGATGATTCTTCTGAATCTTCAGGTATATTTTACCAATTGAACCTTTAAAGTGATATAAATGGCCATTTTTTTAATGTGTAAAAATGGTATCGCCCTAACTCAGTGGATAGAGCTTTGGCCTGCAGACTGAGGTCCCAGGTTGGATTCAGGTCAAGGGCACATGCCCAGGATGTGGGCTTGATCATCCCCAGTAGGGGTGAGCAGGAGGCAGCCAATCAATGATTCTCATCATTGATGTTTCTCTCTCTTTCCCTCTCATTTCCTCTCTGAAATCAATAAAAGATATATTTTAAAAAATTATTAAAAAGGGATCACATTATTGTTCTGTAATTTGCATTTTTTTTTTTTTTAAATTGTTTTCAGAGAAATTGATTTCAGGTTGGGGATCGAGCCCACAACACGGGCATGTGCCCTGACTAGGAATCCAACCTGGGACCCTTCAGTCCACAGTTGACACTATTCACTGAACCACACCAGCGAGGGCTGTAATTTGCATTTCAACTTAATGTTTTTATTTAGTACACTAGGGGTCCAGTGCACAAATTCGTGTACCTTGAAAGGAACTGTGGGCTGTGAGGCTGCGTAGACATAGGAGCAAGTCCTGGCCCATCTTCTGCACCCCCGCCCGGTCCCTTCTGCTGTGGCACCCTCCCCTTCCTCCCCTCCCCCGTCCCATCTTTCCGGCAGCCCTACTCCTGCTGCCTCTGCTCCCACATGCTGCAGCACCAGCTCTGCTAGCACCCATTGATGGCACGGAGCGATTGGGGCCAGCGCTA